CTTATATTTTATTTATTTATTTTTATGTGGTGCTGAGGATCGAACGCAGGGCCTCACACGTGGTAGGCGAGTGCTCTACCACTGAGCTACAAACCCAGTCCCTGTTGTTTGCATTCTTAAGAGCTGCCGTTCAGACTGGAGTGAGATGAAATCTTAGAGTAGTTTTGATTTGCATTTCTCTGATTGCTAGAGATGTTGAACATTTTTTCATAGATTTGTTGATTGATTGTATATCACCTTCTGAGAATTGTCTGTTCAGTTCTTGGTCCATTTATTGATTGGGTTATTATTTTTTATTTTTTGGTGTTTAGCTTTTTGAGTTCTTTATATCCCATAGAGATTAGTGCACTATCTGATATGTGAGAGGTACAAATTTGCTCCCAAGCTGTAGCCTCTCTATTTACCTCACTGATTGTTTCTTTTTCTGAGAAGAAGCTTTTTAGTTTGAATGCATCCCATTTATTAATATTTGATATTAATTCTTGTTGTATAGGAGTCTCACTAAGGAAGTAGGGGCCTAATCCAACATACTGGAGATTAAGGCCTACTTTTTTTTCTATTAGATGCAGGATCTAATAGAAAATCCTCTGAAATATCCACCTACTTTGCTGAATGGTTTAATTCCCTGGTCTTTGATCGACTTTGAGTTGAGTTTTGTGCATGGTGAGAGATAGAGGTTTAATTTCATTTTATTTCATGTGGATTTCCAGTTTTCCCGGCATTATTTGTTGTAGAGGCTAACTTTTCTCCAATTATGTTTTTGGTGCCTGTTAGTCTCTGTGTCCTCTATTCTATACCATTGGTCTACAGGTATATTTTGGTGCCAACACCATCCTGTTTTTGTTATTATTGCTCTGTAGTATAGTTTGAGGTCTGGTACAGTGATGCCACCAGCTTCACTCTTCTTGCTAAGGATTGCTTTGGCTATTCTGGGTCTCTTATTTTTACAGATGAATTTCATGACTGCTTTTTCTATTTCTATGAGGAATGCCATTGGGATTTTGATTGGGATTGATTGAATCTGTATAGTGCTTTTGGTAGTATGGTCATTTAGACAATATCAGTTCTGCCCATCCAAGAACAAGGTGGATCTTTCCATCTTCTAAGGTCTTCTTTAATTTCTTTCTTTAGTGTGCTGTGGTTTTCATTGTAGAGGTCTTTCACCTCTTTTGTTAAGTTGATTCACAAGTGTTTTATTTTATTTTATTTTTTGAGGCTATTGTAAATGGGGTGGTTTTCCTAGTTTCTCTTTCAGAGGATTTGTCACTGATGTACAGACATGCTTTTGATTTATGGGTGTTGGTTTTATATCCACCTACTTTGCTGAATTCATTTATTAGTTCTAGGAGATTTCTGGTGGAATGTTTGGGTCTTCTAGGTATAGAATCATATTGTCTGCAAATAGGGATAATTTGAGTTCTTCTTTTCCTATGTGTATCCCTTTAATTTCTTTCATCTGTCTGATTGCTCTGGCTAGAGTTTCAAGAACTATGTTTAATAGAAGTGGTGAAAGAGGGCATTCCTGCCTTATTCCAGGTTTTAGAGGGAATGCTTTCAATTTTTCTCTATTTAGAATGATGTTGGCCTGGGACTTAGCATAGATAGCCTTTACAATGTTGAGGTATGTTCCTGATATCCCTATTTTTTCTAAGGTTTTGAACATGAAGGGCTGATGTATTTTGTTGAATACTTTTTCTACATCTGTTGATGATCATATGATACTTATTTTTTAAGTCTATTGATGTGATGAATTATATTTATTGATTTCCATGTGTTGAACCAACCTAGTAGCATCCCTGGGATGAATCCCACTTGATAATGCTGCACTATCTTTTTGATATGTTTTTGTATTCAATTTGCTAGGATTTTATTGAGAATGTTTGCATCTATGTTCATTAGAGATATTGTTCTGCAGTTTTCTTTCTTTGATTTATCTTTGCCTGGTTTTGGAATCAGGGTGATATTGGCCTCATAGAATGAGTGTGGAAGTGCTCCCTCTTTTTCTGTTTCCTGAATAAAATTGAAGAGTATTAGTATTAGTTCTTATTTAAAGGTTTTGTAGAACATGGCTGTATATCCATCGGGTCCAGGGCTTTTCTTGATTGGTAGGCGTCTTCTATTTCATTTTGATATTGGTCTGTTTAAATTGTGTATATCATCAATTTGGGCAAATCATATGACTTAAAAATTTGTCAATACCTTTAATATTTTCTATTTTATTGGAGTACAAGTTTTCAAGATAATTATCCTCTGTATTTCTGTAATGTTTGTTGTGATATTACCTTTTTCATCACATTTTAGTAATTTCAATTTTCTCTCTCTCTTTGTTAGCATAACTAAGGGTCTGCCAATTTCATTTATTTTTTCAAAGAACCACCTTTTTGTTCTGTCAATTTTTCAGTTGTTTCTTTTTTTCAGTTTCATTGATTTCAGCTGTGGTTTTAATTATTTCCTGTCTTCTACTGGTTTTGGGATTGATTTGTATTTCTTTTTCTAGGGATTTGAGATGTAATGTTAGGTTGTTTATTTGTTGACTTATTCTTCTTTTAAGGAATGAACTCCATGCAATGAACTTTCCTCTTAGTTCTGCCTTCATAATCTCCCAGAGATTTTGATACGTTGTGTTAGTGTTTTTATTTACCTGTAAGAATTTTTGAAACTCCTCCTCGATGTCTTTTGCAATTCATTGTTCATTCAGTAGCATGTTATTTAAATATCTCCAGGTGTTGGAGTAATTTTTATTTTTTATTTTATCATTGATTTCTAATTGATTCCATTTTGATCTGATAAAATGCAGGTTAGTATCTCTACTTTTTTGTATATGCTGAGAGTTGCTTTGTGGTATATTAAATGATCTATTTTAGAAAAGGATCCATGTCTTGCCGAGAAGAAAGTGTATTCGCTTATTGAAAGATGAAATATTCTATATATGTCAGTTAAGTCTAAGTTATTGATTGTACTATTGAGTTCTGTAGTTTCTTTGTTTATCTTTTGTTTGGAAGATCTATCCAGTGGTGAAAGAAGAATATTAAAGATTATTGTGTTGTGGTCAGTTTGACTCTTGAACTTTAGAAGAATTTGTTTGATGAACGTAGATGCTCCATTGTCTGGGGCATATATATTTATAATTGTTATGTCTTTTTTGTGTATGATTCCCTTCAACAGGATGAAATGTACTTCTTTATCCATTTTGATTAACTTTAGCTTGAACTCAATTTTATAACGATGATGGAAACCCTGCTTGCTTCTGTCATCTGTTCGTCTTGTCATCCCTGTACCTCCAATAGATATTAACTGAGACTATATTATATACCAGATGATACTAACTAATCAGGTTTATTTGTAAGCTCTAATCCTAAAAAGGACTTAAGACAACTTTACTTTTTTTTCTCAGAAGAAAAATGCGATGATGTTAAATATGTATATGTCTGAACTTGTATTTATGGGTGAAAAATTCATTCTGCTGAATTCTGTTTTATCACAATAAAATGTCTATACAGAAGAGTGTGAACAATTAGTTAAAATGTTTGTTTTGTGTGATTCCCTTTAAAGGTAGAATTTTTTAAATTTATGTATAACAGCAGAATGCATTACAATTCTTATTACACATATAGAGCACATTTTTTCATATCTCTGGTTGTATACACAGTGTATTCACACTAATTCATGTCTTTATACCTGTACTTTGGATAATAATGATCTTCACATTCCACCATTATTAATAACCCCATGCCCCTCCCTTCCCCTCCAACCCCTCCGCCCTATCTAGAGTTTGTTCCTCCCATGCTCCTGCTCCCTATCCTACAATCTTTAAGAACTGATATTGAATTAGATTTCCCCCCTACTATCTACCATTCACTTAATTCCAGTGTCTGTAAGCACAGTAGTTGCAGAACTGTTTAATCATGTTATTGTAACAACTTTACCAGCTAGATTATAGTTCTTAGGTATATTCTTTTTACCTCTAGTCTTATATAGCTAATTTGACTTACCTGCTTCTTTGATTTATACAACTGCAGTACATTTAGAGTCTCTTGTCACATTTTGCAATCCATCTGAGCGCTCTCTATCCTCCTAAATGATTTTTTTTTAAATTTGCATACATTATATACAAAGCATTCTGTGCTAATAGTTCCATGATCTTTACAGGTGTTTTATGTCTTGTTTTTCCCATTATAGGACCATACAGATTGAATGAGTATATTCAGTCCTCTAAATTGTTATTTTTGCAATTAAAAAAAATTTGGCATAGCATGTGGCGCATAGAAAACAACTGGTAAAATTTTATTACATGGATAAATATTGAAAATTGAACATGCATTTTTAATCACAAATATTCATATGTATTAAGTTGTTATTGCCATTATGTCAGTAAATATTTCTATGTTTTAAAGTCTATTACATATATAAATAGCAAAAGGATATGTATGTACTTGTGTTTTTAATAGCGTAACAATAATTACTTAACAGTAAGGTTATTTTCAGATAATATAGCTCTTCAAATATGCTAATTTAAAAGCTCTTTTCCTCTCAATAAAAACCAAGAAGCAATTTTAAAAAAAAGAAAAAAAATGTAAGACATACTTTAGATCTTAACTTCCAACGATTTCTTTCTTTCATTCATATAAGTTTGATGTATTACCATTTTCCACAGTGTTACATGCAGTAATGTTTCTACATTTATAACATGGATAATAATTATCACATCATTTCTTTGCTTGCCAGACTTGAACATCCATGAACATATTATAATGCAGTGTAATGTATCTACCTTTCTTGTAACTACAGATTATTGAGTTATGCTGAGACATTTTAATATTTTTATGAAGCAGGAATAACATTATTTAAGATGTTTTGTATGTTTTTTATTTTACAACTAGTTATATGTGAATATATGTAATATTTATCACAGATAATATGTAAACCTCCTTTAAATATGAAAATAAAGATATAAGTTTTAGAAAACTCAGTTGTGATTTTTTTTTCTTTCCTTCTTACAGTTTCTCAAGCAAGACCTCCTCCAAATCAGAAGAAAGGTGAGGTCATGATTTTAAATTTATTTTAGAAAGTAAATGTGTATGAACTAGGTTGCAAAACCAGGGCTTATAATATTTGTGCAGCTATATCAAATATGTGTAGTTGGTATCATTTCTTATTAGTCAGTGCTTAAACTATACTGATGATTAAACATTTTTACTATTATTTTTGGCTTCAAATATGTTATGTGTGCATACATACATTCGTATATTTTGGTGCCAGGGAAAGAGCCACATCTCCAGGCTTAATGTATTTTTTTAGCTCAAAAGAATCAAAATTGTGCCGGGCACTGTGGCACACACCTGTAATCCCAGTTGCCTGTGAGGCTGAGACAGTAGGATTGTGAGTTTAAAGCCAGCCTCAGCAACAGTAAGGCACTAAGCAACTCAGTGACCCTGTGTCTAAATAAAAAATACGAATAGGGCTGCGGATATGATTCAGTGGTTGAGTGCCTCTGAGTTTAGTCCCCAGTCCCGGTGTGGCCCCCCCCCCCCCAATTAAAATTGTACATTTATTAGCTTTTAATTTTTATCGAAATTAGTATGATTCCTTTTAATAACAATAAGTAATAATAATAATAAGTTTGTTACCTTTAAAATTGTGTTCTTCCAGGATCTCGAACACCCATTATTATAATTCCCGCAGCTACCACCTCTTTAATAACCATGCTTAATGCAAAAGACCTTCTACAAGATCTGAAGTAAGTAATTTTTTAAAAAAAAAATCTTTTTGTAAGACACTGAGATACAGGAGATAGTTACTAATTTAGTATTATTTGAAGAAAACAAAAACAAAGTTTTACTTGATAGCTAAAGAATAATTTTTCACGTATAATTTTTGTATCTGCATCCTTTAGAGAAAGTTACAGAAAAGCTGGCTAAAGTCCTAATGAGAAGGATACTGTTTTATTGACTCTTAAAATGAATTATGTTGTTAGTTTTGTTTTGTTTTTGGCACAGTTCTGGGGATTAAACTGGGACCTTGTTCAAACCACATCCCCATCCTAAATTATATTTTGATTTTTCCCTGAAGATCTGAAAAAGTTTCCAAAGCAAATGAAGGTTCTTTCAGTATATTAAATATATAGTTGGAGGAGGCAGGCAAGTGGGGAAACATAGTTGTTAACCTTGATAGCAGTAAAAGCTGAGTGAAAATGAAAAGGAAATGTAATAATAAAGATGAAAGAAGTGAATATAAAACATATACCCTATGTTAAAATTTACAAATGTTTGTAAACTTGGAAATTTTAAGTGTCTCTTCCCCATTTCTTTTTTTAAAGATCACAGTCATAGTGTACTAAGTTTATTCTAATAAATGTGTTAGTCAGCTTTTCATTGCTAGGACAGGAAGAAAAATTTATTTTGGCTTATAGTTTCAGTGGTCTCAGTTCATGTTTCTCCATGTCGATTGCTCTGGGCCTGAGGTCAGATGGAATACTAGGGTAGAGGACATGAAGCTGCTCAGCTCATGGCTACTGAAACAGAGAGCTCAAGGAATTCTTCTGTCAGAGTGCGTTTTGTAATATGGGGAAAGAAAGTAAAAGAACTCAAAGTATACAATATTTTGGGAAGATAAAAGAGGTAATATAATTACTGGTTGTAGAGGGGAGTTAACTATATTCTGCTATAACATTTTCATAGTATTTGGTACTTTCTTACAGTATTTAATGAAATCAAAGTTGTCAAATTATCCATTTTGTGTTATGTACCCAGGTCATTTAATCTGGATGTTTGTTATGAATTTGAACTGTAGCTCACTACTTTTAACATGGTTTTATTTGAGGAAATTTGAGGTTGAAGGCATGTCCTTCCAGTGATTTTTGTCATTCTTTTTTGCCAGCTGCTCCAATACCCAAAGACTGAGCTGATTTTTGTGTTAAATTCTCAATTTGAGAATTTCTGATTTACTAGGGTAGTATAAATTCAAATTTGAATCTGTTCTGAGTGACGCGGAGATGGACCCTTGGCCTACAAATCATCCAGGAGTAGTTCTTCCCCTAATTGAAGAGTCAGATCAAGATAGATATGCTTCTTTGACATTTGATTGGAAAAGTCCCAGTAAACCCCCCCCAGCTGATAATGTAACTTTTTGTAGGTTGTAGCTCTAGTTCCTTTTTGTCCTTGTGAGTTTTGTACAACCAAAAAAACATAAATGCCTACAGTTTCTCTGCAATACCAGTGCATTGGATGGCGTGTCAGTTTTTCTTCCTATAGAAGTGATGATTTTCTTTCTAGCTCAGTTATTTTGCATTTCATATATTTGTTACATTGTATCTAGCATTTCTGGGTGTTTATAAAGTAGCTGGTTTTATACTATCAGGTATACTGCGTTATTGGAACTTGAAATCATAAAATATATTTATTCTACTTTAGACATTGTTATTAGTCTGCTGTTAGATATACACTAATCTGTAACAGCAACAACAAATTTAATTCATGCTTCTTCATTAAGTTTGAGTCTTACCTGAGGAGAATTAAAAATGCAGAATATTTCATAAGATATTTGCCTCTTTAGCCATAAATATGTTCTTTGGGTTTGGGGTACACTCAGCATTAGAAATGTTTAAAATCTTTTATCAGTTTTGCTAATACCTCAGCTAAGAGATTCAGATGTAATCTAGTGATAACTTGCTTGGGAGATTGCTGCATATATTGGCAACAAACATCTATATAGCAGTATAACTCAAGAGTGAATTACTATGTAGACAAATACATGACAAACCTAACCTTCTAGGAGCTCATATGATTGTGGTGTTAGTGGGTTATGAGTCATTCATTTCAACTGATAAAATAGTATTTGTTCTAGCACTTGGTATAAAAACTAGTTTCAATGCCATACCTGAAAATATAACGTCCTTTGATACTTTACAAGTATGAATCATGTCTTGCAGATAGGTTTAGAATCAAATCAGACCTCAACAGTTATCAACCATTAAAAGCTTTATGTAGCATCTCTCACAAATTATATGATTTTAATGAGAATACACATGATAGTGCTTTTTGTTGAAGAGGTAGTTGAAACATTATTTTCCACAATTCTGGACCTAAAACGGATGCAGAATACATCTAATTTGACTTTTATTCCTGGTTGAAAACACAGAGATGAAAGAACCTTAAAGGCTATTCGGCCTTTTATTTAATTCTGCCAGTTAGTTGCAAAGCAGGAAATAAAATCAGGTCTCCTGAACACCATTTTGATAGTATTGCCCTTTGGACAGTGGAGACACCTAATAAATATTTACTTTAAGAAATGGAGTTTTATTTTGGTCTAAGAGTTATGTGATAACCATCAAAAACAAGAGAGACTCCTCCACAAAATTTAATAAGCCCTAACTTCAGTGATATTTTATAATCTGAAATATCTAATGTTGACAGTTTTGTATAATATATTTCCAGTGATAACTAGGAAAATGTTTATTCAACAACAAATAATATTCAAAAGAAGAATGTAGAGTCTCTGACTTTTTTCTCAGTAGAGTAATAATGATAATTATTTAAGGAGGAAAATAAAAGCAACCCCCCCCCCCAAGAAGAAAATATCATCTGGCTCTGAAATAACTTAGGACTGATTAAAAATGAAACCAATAAATTACTATTCTCTCATTTCAAATTTTACTACACAGAATTTAGTTTTAAAGGGTGCCTTCAATTTAAATAATTTTCTTTACAAAATGTAGGTAGCCTGGCACATACAAGTATATCTATACATTGTTTTATTCATTTAAGTTTGATAATATAATGGAAATTCAAACCAATGCAAAATGGATTGCATTAACCGATTTTAAAAAAATGTTTAGTGTTTTTATGAGCATTCATGTCTCCTTTCCACCTTCTAATATAGAAAAGGCAATTTTTCATCATTTATAATCTGTGAAATAAGATATGCATCTGTTTTCTTTTTGGTGATGGTTGCCTTGTCTTACTGATCTCCTTTTGGGTTTTTTAAAATAGTTTTGTGTTCTTCAGAGAAAAGGGCTTGTTATTTTATTCATATTTGTAGCTACATTGTTTTAAACAGTGTTTGCCTAAAAATGGATATTAAGCAAATGTTTCAGGAAAGAAAAAGAAAAGAAGAAGGGAACACAGTGAGAAAATTAGAGAATAGGGAACTGTATCTAATTAGCATTTGAATATGAGAGAATTTTTTTTGAAACTGCCATTATTTTACTGTGTCTATATTATTATATTCCTTTGTTTTTTATAAATATAATAGTCATAGCTACTCTTGGAACTTGATTTAGGTTCTCATGGTGCTTCATTACATTTAATACTGAGTGGTTTTGTTTGTTTGTCTGTTTTGTTTTTGGTATTGGGGATTGAAACTGAGGGCATTACTTAACCACTGTGCTACATCCCAATCCTTTTTTATATTTTTATTTAGACACATGGTATCGCTGAGATGCTGAGGCTAGCCCCGTACTTTCGATCTTCCTTCTCAGCCTCCCTAGCTGCTGGGATTACAGGCATCCCCCACTGCACCTGGCTTCCATTGAGTGTTTTACACCTTAACTATTTTTGTATCAGGTGATCTTTATGCCTCCTTTGAAGTCATTTTATGATGTACAAATTTGGCATTATCCGATTTTTAGTTTTTAGTAATTGATAACTATTATTTATTTCTTATGAATATGTTTTGTTGTTTTTAAAATGTTACAAATTCTGTCTTTAGTTCTTTATTCTCCACATTTTCGGTGTTCATCTTAATATATTACAAATCTAATATTTTTAGTACAAAGAAATTTTAAAGGAAACTTTAGTGTCTTTCTCTTTATAGCCTTACTATAGAGAAGCCAAACAATTAAACAAACTACAGTTTTAGGATAGATCATGCCTAATTTTTCTTCCAAGTTTAAATCACTCCCTTCATTGTTTAACACCTCATTGCAACTGACATCTTCCCTACCGTTTGAGTCAGCTGGAGGCTTTGCTATGTAATTAATGTATAATTGAAACCTCCTCCACACAATTATAGTGTTGGCTGTAACCCATAGTTGAAGTTGGCATAGATTCTATTTGGTTTTATGTAAAATTGAGGATTCTTCAGTTTTCTAGCGCATCAGTAAGTAAATTAAACAAAAAATAAAACTCAGCTTAACCTTTAACATTCTAAATAATAAAATTAAGGTCATATTATAGAAATATTAACAGGTGCACTTTACTTCTACAAACATGATAAACTGATTAGATGAAACATATGATTCTGGCCATGATAGTAGTTTCTCAGGGCAGGGTTCCAAGTAGGAGAGATTGCACACACATAGTACTCCAAAAATATGAAGAGGGTTTCCCTTGCATTCACCAAATACTGTTGTGCTTATGCCCATGAGGGATCTATTGTGGCCTGGGAAATAGCCATGGGGGGGAAAAAAGCAGACAGAACAATTACTGGAGCTTGTATTTGAATGAAAATAGTTCTTGTTCCCAACAACTGCAGATAATACAAAATGGTATGGCCACTTTGGAAAATAATATTATTTTTTCTCAGAATATTGAATATACTATTGCTCTATCTCCTAGCTCCCTTTGTTGATCTACTATACTTAGATATGGACTTGTTTTTTATACATCTCACTTGGCATTTGTTAGAATGAATCTATGAGTTATCGCTTTTCATCATTTCTGGAAGATTTGGCTCTTATCTCTTTAGATGTTCCTTGGAATTTTTTTTTTCATATGCTAATTCTTTGAGTTTCAAGCAAAT